AGAAGAACGCGAGAAAAGACGTCGTTCTTTTCACGAAGTAAGATTGTTTCTCTGTAATTGAAAAAAAAAAACGAAAGTAATAAAGAGAAGTGGAAATTTTTCCTACAAATGTAAACATGAATTTGGGATAGGTATACTAGGGTACCAGGACTGTTTGCGTCAATGGCTCGTGGGATTAGATTTTATCTGTATTTATTGGGAAATATAACTTTTCAAGTTATATTTCAAAGATTTGTTTTTGTTGGCTAAGTTTCGCATAAGTAGTAGTACTGGAATATCGAATTATCTAGTACAAGTTATCTAAATTTAAATTTTATTCAATAAGAAACAGTAAATATTACTCGAATGCAACTTTCAGCGTGTTAATTTATTATGTGAATAATGTTTCCAGTTTGGAAGCAGATCACAAAAAATTATGTTAGGAAAATTTTGAATAGTTGGTTAGGAATTCTGGATTCAATTTCTGTTTTGAAGCTTTGATGTCATTTACATCACTCTCTTTCCACACATTGATATTTTTGTTCCGATATTACAAAAGTTATAGCAAAGTTTTCTTGAAAGTAAGCAAGTGGATCAAAGTTCGATTTCTTCTCCAAAAAAATCAATAAATCATTCTTCAACATCTTTTAAAAAATGGATTTCAATGAAATACAACAACAGGTTATAGGAATATGTATTGCTCATCAAATCTTCGAATAATTTTTCAAGTACAGATCTTTCTGTTGTATTAATTTGAGTTGAAGTATTCAAAATAATTAGTTCATGACGTATTCATTTGCTGGATGGACCAACGACCCGTTTTCATAGACATAATTAAATTTCATTTATATCTAAAAATCCGGTCTTTCAATGCTAAACTGGAAGGATAAAAGAAAAAACAGAAAACTAGATTATTTCGTTTCCTTTGAATTATTTCAAGATCAGTAGAATGTCATGCATGAACAGATAGTTTTCAACATTCACAAAAAAATTTCGCACGATTTTCATTCAGTTCATTATAATTTCATATGAAATTGAAATGAAGAAACTTTATTTGCCAGAACTACCTTTGTTTATGTTTTATTTTAATGCTTGCATAATTCCAAAATATGAATGTGTATCCATTGAATCGTGACATACCGTACTAGATAATTAATTAAAAAATTAAAAAGACAAATAATGATTTTTAGTTAAAAAGACAATAATGACTTTATTTTCGATCTCATTTGAGTACTGCACTATATAAAAATTATTAAATTAATTTATTTTATCAGAAAATTATTATCCACTCAATTCCTAACTTTTAGTTCATTCTAAGGAAATAGAATTGAAATATCTGTCATTATGTACTCGCTTTTCATAATTATCATATTTTTTGGTAATTTTTTTCGAGCTTTCCACATTTTTTGAAACAATTAATTAATATTCGGAAATGACAGTGATGTGGAACTTTAGGAATAGTTCCTGAGGTTTTCAAACTTTGGAAAATATGACTCTAGTCTTCTTTCATCTAAGGTTTTAAAGGAAATTAATAGCGTTAATGTCATAGTCTTTGGTGATTTTGATTCCTGGCACACTACGAACTTTTCGAGGTAATCTTAAAACAATTTAGACTTGTTTACCACTCAAATTTGTTGATATATTTTAAAACTTTTGTTGGCAATCTCAAATGTTTTAGAGATATAGGCTTCATGCCTAAAGTTTAAGGGTTTCATTTTGAACCGAAACTTTAGGTTAATGAAGAGTTGTCGGTTCACTTGCCTATTAACAAACTCTGCAGCTTACTAAAAAATGTTTATGAGATTATTAAAAATCTTTTTCTTTATGCATTTAGTAGATCAGCGCTATGCGGTTTTTTAATATTCCGTTTATTACATTTATTCGTTTTCAGTTGGTCCCAGAAAAAATAACACTTTTTGAAATCTATATGTTTTTTTTCCAGTGATGTTAGGAGCTCATTTGTCATTTTTAGAAACAGAAACGTTAGGGAAAGTTTTTTAATTCTGTGCTTCGTATATTAGTTGTAAGTCTGTTTATTGGAATGTCATTCATTCAACTTATCAAACTTGTTTCCTTGCAATACAATAAAAATTCCAATCATGTTTTTTTTTTTTTTTTTTTTTTTTTTTTTCTTATTCAAATTTAAGACCCTTCACTTCAAAATGCGTTTGTGAAATTGATGGGATTCCTTGCCTAAAAGAAATTTTATTTACTGATTATTAATGTCGGCAAATTCGTATTCTGTTCATCATTTTGAAAACTTTCTAATGCTCTAAAAAAGAGATGAATTAAGTGAAATGCTTAATCTTCTAAAGTGAATTCATGCATTCCTATTTCCATTATATTATCTCTGTTTTGAGAACGTTATAATGGTTTGATGTACGCACTCACATATTTATTGTTCGTTTCATTTTGCCATTCTTTTTTTGACTTAATGACAGAATCTGATTTCTGTGACGTGGTTGATTTTCATTATTGAGTGATATTGCTAATATTATCTAGATCTTGTTCACTTCATACCATTGGTTCTTGTCCTGCTTTCTTTGATTTTCTAATTATTCTCAGTTTCATTTCATTTGAAATGATTATATCGAGCCGAGACTTTTAGAATCTCAATGGTTTTAGAGTTAGAGACGATAAAGATTTTTTGCAGCGTATTGCATTGAACCAACAAGAAGATGATGATTTTCAACGACAAATTTCAACTCTCCTAAGTCGTGTTGACATATCGAAGAATCGTGCATCAATGTACGACATTATCAGCCAGATGGAAATCCCAAAACCAAACGGACACTAATTTTCTGGAGATTGCTGTTGCAATTGCTGAATGATAAAAAGTTAACGTGAAATGTTGTTCTATTATTTTAAGACATTTTGATATCTACATATCTTTATTCTGTAGTTTATATTATGCGCTTATAAAATAACTGTTCCTGTTTGAAATTGCAGTTTTTGTAAATTAATTTTAATGAATGAGAATTTTAGGAATTTTAAATTTATCTTGGAACTTATATAAAATTATCAGTTGGAAGAAATTGAATTCTAACTTTTGAAGTACTCCCAAACTGTATTATCTTATTTTGTGATCTTATTGATTACATTTTTATTGCATTTGTGTAACATAAGCAATTTTTCATAATGAACACCACCCGAAACAATTGTTATCAAGAAACTATTAACATAGTTCAAGTAGTGCACCTGCAGTGTTGTATCGTTCGATGTACTCACATTATATTATACCTTAATGTTTGCTATTGCCGCTTCATTGTACTTTTATGTACAAATAATACCGAGAGCTTTTCTTCCTTTTTCAGCAGTTATAAAACACCGTTAACAACTTTTTCCAGCAACAAAATGTGATTGTTTGGACTGATCTAAATGTATAAGTTTAGGTCATGCTACAACGATGTGTTAAGAGTACTGTTGATTTCATCATCTGCAACTTAATTAAATATCGCGTAGATTACTAAAGAAAAAAAAACTCATACAGAAGTAAAACAGTTTGCCATTTCGAACTTAACAATTTCAAAAGCAGTGCTAAAAATTAGTTCTCAATGGCGCTTCTTTTTTTTGATGAGTAAAATCAATTCAGTGCAATTCTGGTTCTAAACTTAAGACTACCTAATTATCCTAGTTCAAATTTTCTTCAACATGTAAATTACATTTGGGATACAAAATCACTACCAAATGATAACTATGACCCTCTTAATTAGCTATCGATGTTAGATAGTACATCTATACCATCTTTTCACATCTTAACAATACAATAAATTACAATACATTTGGGAGCAAAGCATGGGCCAAATACCATAGATGGATAAAAAATGTACAAAATAATTGAATTCAGAACATGATCGAATTTCAGGAGTGTCTGCTGATAAAAGTTGTGTTAAATAAGCCATCTTAATTGAAGCTCACTTCCTCGTGTCAAACATTTTATGAGTTTACTTTGACGAAATGCATGTCCCCCCTCCCTACACAATCAACCATACATTGTCACTGTCTTCATAAGACATCCACGCCATACGTGAACTCTGAATAACAACCAATTTTTTATGAAGTGTGATTTGACCTGATACCTGAGAAATGATATACATTCCCATGTATAATTTCGATAATTTTTTCAAAATCATTACCCGGACCTCAAGCTTTCTGTATTTCTTATATGATATTAACTTCATGTATATGGATATTGTCTAAAATGAAGAATTGTTTTCAACTCAATATTCATATTCCTAACCAGAGACCAATTGTCGCTAATGATAATGCTGTAGTTATTGATATCTAAACAAAAATCAACTGTCCACAAAATGCAATACATTTATGATCATTTCACCAAAATCACGAAGATCTTACAACTCGATCAGAAAAACAGACAATAAAATCATACTAAGTAATTCTTTTTTGTTCTGCGATCACGCGCTGCATGCAACTCTCACTAAATTAGCTTCTGGTCCCGCATCATTCACTAAATTCCTAGCCATAACTTTCAAGAAATGATCGCGTTATTTCGAACAAAGCTTCGAAATGAAGCAGTTTGGGACATATTTTTACTGACATTTAGGGAAGTGTTACTACAAATATACAGCTAATTCAGAAATTCAAACCTTTGTAATTCGTCAGTTTGAACTTCCTATATAGATATATTTAAATCGGCAACTTTGAATTCGTCACCACTTAATTTTCAAAATCCAGAATTACATATCAGTAGATAGTAAACTGTAGTGTTAAGATTAATATGAAACTGGTAAATTTCAATAAACAAAACCCATCAAATTCTGAGTATCTTTGAGCATCGAAACGACACCATAGCAAGACAACAAGACAACACAAACTAAATTAATCTTTAAAATAACAAAATACAATGGAACATATTAAAAATATTTAGAACAAGAATTACAATTTCTTTAGAATTAAAAAAGACTTTGGAAGATTGTAAATCTATTGCAAATTACATTCATAAACATAGACATAGCAATAACATTTACAACATTTAGATCAAAGGCTGTAGAAAGTGACGATTATAACGATTTCAACATGTAAGGACCATCCAGTTCGTACCCCATTTTCCTGGAAACAATATTACATAACCTCTCACAAAAAAACAGCACAGCTGGAAAACTGTAAGGAATCATCGAGGTAAGAATTTTTTGCTTGGTAAAATCGCCATGAAAAGAATATATTTCAATTGCAGAATTTCCTTCAAAGAAATCCAACAACATAACTTTCATAAACAACAACTAAACGAGGCTGATGAAGCAAATTATCTAGTCTAATAACACGTCAATACCGGACCAGACTGATAATTATCAGGAATTTTTGGCCTAAAGATCTGAGGTCTATAAAAATTATTTGATATATATATATATATAAAATATTAAAATTCTAATCTATAACTGGTGAGGTCCTTCCAGCAGCGTAAGGTTCTAAATTTTTAATGCTTACATTCCAATATTAAGATAAAAGAAAAAACAAGCAAAACTATTGCACAAAAAAGAAAATTAAATTTGCTCCACATACGAGATCTATTTTTAAGACTGTTGATTTCCCACCAACTAAATTTCTATCTTTCATTTTCTAGAATATGTTTCCTTTCTTTAGAAGATGTTACTCAACACTTACAGGTACGAGACAATACAAGTCCAAGGATATAATATTCATAATTAATATTCTTGTGGTAACTATGTTTAGTAATCTATAAGATTTTAAGTACTCTTAAAAAACCGCAGAAATATAGCTGAGGAAACTAACCGATAATAATTCCTTGTACCTACACCAGAAATAATTGCTAATTTTCTGCTGTAATGTTCGTTTCTGGCGATTCGTTCTGCTTCTTCCATTAGTAATTGGCCAAATCCCTGATGCTGAAATTTGGATGGATCTCGAGCCGATACCGGTACTACTGAACCGTAGACATGCAGTTCACGAACAATTGATACTCCACCCTACAACTGATTCATTGTTAAATAAAAAATTTTGGGAAAAAAACTTTCATCTAACAAGCTAGTCTGTTAATTATAAATTTTCAGAGTTATCTTAAATTAAAATAGATTGAAACAATACAAAATACAATTTGTTCGAACAACAACAGTAACAATGTTTAAATGAAAAAATGTAATGTTGAAACCTTGTGAATCCGTTGAATTTTACCACTAAATCTTAAAATATTTTAAACAAAAATTAACGCCTTGAACAATTCGTATAAACGCCTCCTTACAAAACACGATCTCACGACATCCCACCATACCGTGGAAATGCAACAATTAAAAAAGCAATGTGGATATTGATATCAAATTAAAAAAAAACAAGAAAAAAAAAAACTTAAAATATACACAAACAAGTTGCGTAAATATCTCCAAATTTTTTTTTTGAAAAAGGAGATTAAACACATTTAAACAGTAGCATTTTTCGAAAAATATTGAACCACATTTTTAGTTTCCAGATACAGTACCAACTTTAATTGTATTTAGTCTGTTTTTTGCCATAAATAGGAATAGTGGAATAACCTACCATGCAACGAAAAATTTTCTATTCATACATAAAAAATAATTTTTACAGTCATACAGAAATGATTCAAAACTCTTTCTTCAATCTTTAATTTCTAAAATCTGCCAAATACCATTACTGAGAACTGTCCAAATTTTTTTCTTGATTTCTGTATTTTCAGCGCAAAGCCACTATCCTCTCTCAAACTGACCCACTCCAATAAAAAGAGAAATTAAATACTTCGCCTCTAGTTAAAAAATATTTCTCATGTTTCAAAGCCCTCTACGGCGAAATAGGTTATGTTGAAGTATATTTTTCAGAATCAATCATCATCTACGTAAAATCCAACATTTATGCAACTTGGAAAAGTATCGTTCAGAAAAGCCCAAACTGTAAATAGACCTATAACGGTTAAATCCAGTTAATTTACTCTTTCATTACTATTTCGATGAACGTCTCGTCTTTGCACCAAACTATATATATATATATATATATATATAAAGAATGATACTAGTACGATATAAAGCAAAATAATAAAGTGGACAATAGATTTCAGAAAAAGTAAAAAAAAAAGATAAACAATATAATTTTTTAAAAATAATTTCAGCTTGAATTAATGCATATTTATTATTCGATTCTAATTCATAGTCTAAATATTCAACTCTTAGTGAAGAAACAAAAACAATACCTTTAACTCAGATCGATGAACTCTATCTGCACATTTTCGTAATCTTAGCAGACCAACTAAAATATCCTGAAAGAATAGAAATTTTCAACATTTGAAATGAACATCAGATTGATTTATTAGGGATTTCGAGAAAAAACCTGTTCTGGATCTTCGTAAGAAAGAAATGTCTCCCATCCACCATTAGCGACATAATCTCTACGAATCAGTTCAATTTGGTAAGGAACGATTTTATTATGTATTTCCTGAAATTCTAACATAAATTACTTCATAAAGTACGGAATTTTTTATGAAAAAAATGAAACTGATGTTTATCAGAATTATTTCGCAAAAATCCTCGAACTTTTTTTCAAAAATTAAATTTCTGAAGCGATTTGCGACAAAATATAAATTCTGCTAGGAAACAACACAAATGAAGAACATAAAATGATGCATTTCACTCATTTTTCAGTAAATAAATTACTTAATTCATTGAACAAATCAATTTTAAGCTACGCCTAAAATCATAGGAGTTATGGGGCCTAGACTTCTTAAGTTACTCCAAATTCAGGAATGAGGAATTCAAATAATGATTAAGAATTTTAAAATGATACCTGAATTCCAACTTCACGTGTCCTAACATCTCGACATGCAGTACCAAGTTGCTTCATACGTGCAAGAGCATGTTCGCGAAGATTTCCATACTGTACTCCACTAGTAACAAGCGGCATTGGTATATCACGTTGTACACGATAAACACGAGTCCATGGAGGGATCAAAGCGAGAATACGAGCCGTCAAATCCACCAAAATCTTTAAAAAAGTCAGGCATCTAAAATTCCATTTGGAAAAACTTTTGAAATCATGTGCATTTTAGCAAAACTCGTAATCTGCAGTTTGTTTATGAACTTCTGCAAAAACCGAACGGAAAATCTTATATGGGAATAGTAAAGTGCGAAGCATGATGGAATCATATCTTCAAATTTTAGCAAGTTCCAAATAACCCAAAGTTAGTCAACGGTATTAAAGGAATTTTTGACTTTCATACCGCTAACTAGTTTTTGAGTAGCCGCAATTCTGTTGTGAAAACAACAGAAACAGAAAAAGTAAGAAAAGAATGATCAGTTCAACCATCCAATGACTTAGATTAAATTCTAGAAATATTCTAGCAACGAAACCTCTGGTGGATAACTTTTATAACGTCCAGTTCTCCATAGTTCATATAAGCCAGTGCCACGAATGACCAACGTTGGATATAATTTAAGACCATCTGGTCGAAATTCTGGATTTTCAAAAAGCTCGATAAACTGTTCCATGTCTCGTTCAATCCCAACATTAGGGAGATTTGGCATCATATGTATTACCACCTTGTAACCCGCATTTTTTGCTATTTCAAAACATTCGCATACTGCTTTGACCTGCAAAGAGAGTTCTACTTTTAGAACCAAGTTTACAGTTTTCATTTTTGTAACGGAAATTTGTATTTCAAATGAATATGGATGAACATTTATTATTTTTATCAAAATTTCCATACAAAACAGTGGATTAGAAGGAACAGATTTAGACTGATATTAAATTTTGAATGAGCTTGTTAAAGATGAGGATTTAGATAACGCAGACGATATCAAAGAATTAATTTTATCTCCCATTATAAAACCTGCCAGATCTCTTTTTTCTCGTTGGATAAACACAGAAATTTAGCATAATAATTGCTTATGCTATGCTATCAAAATGATTACAATCTCTCTAGTTTTCCGTTCCCAAATTTTGATTTTATATATTATTTCGTGACGATAGATTTTACGAATAACATTAAAAAAAAAAAAAAACAAACAGTATGCCCTCTATTCGTATCCCTAGCAACATCTTCGTATACTGACTGAACACCAATTTCTAATCTTGTACAACCGTAGCTCAACATTTCATCTAAATGTTTCGGTAAACAATAATCAGGCCTTGTTTCGATCGTTATTCCAATACATTTCACTCGACTTCGTTCACTGAATTCTACTGCCTGTATATATAATCGTATAACTTCATATAAAATAAAACAGCTACAAATGAATGTGAATTCATTTGATTCTTTTTAGTTCGAAAGGAAAAATAACACGGAAAAATGTGGTAATTTTGCCATTTACTTCCCACATTATGATAGCTGTGATTCTAAAACGAAAGTTTAAATGAACGTAACACCTAATAAAAATATTGAAATAAAAAAACCTCAGACACACTGCTGCTAGTATGACCAGTCAATGCGTCATGAAGATTTCGAATAAAATAGTCCCGATAATCATCCGGTAATGACATGAAAGTACCTCCCATTACTATGAATTCTACCTGAAAAAAAAAAAAAACATCGAATCATAGAGCCTCTCTTTGATACTTTTTTATAGTTCTTGATAAACATTGAAAAAAATCAAGACCTAGGAAAGTTATCAGAAACTGAAACAAGATTTGAAGAAAATAACAGACCCATAATAATAATTCCAGGCTTTCAATTATAATATAATGAATTCAAAAAAAGTAAATAAATAAATACATGTATATATTTTTTCATCCACTTTTGGTACATCTACAACATTTAGTCTTAACTTCATTTATTCTCTTAGCTTTCAAACTCACAGAAATTTCATTTTAAATATCTCGCAAGTTATCAGTATGTTATCAGTATTTCGCAAGTTATCAGTATTTAATGTATGATATATATATTTAACTATAAATTAAAACAAATGAACAAACTTTATCAACATTATGCCCAAGCTGCATAAGCTGTGTTACTCGGCTTCTTGTCTGCAAAAAAGGATTATAACGAGCACGTATTGCTCGCATCGAAGTTGGCTCATAACCCGTATAGGACTGAGTACTGTATTCGAAGTCGGAATCTGGTCCACCAGGACAGTATACACAGATATTACCTGAATGTTGAAACTAATTAATCACATCTTCAAATGTTTTAAATATTTTAAAATAATCCAAATAGCTTCAATAATTTAATCCATTATTCATAAACCATAAACTGAAACATAAACACGTATCTAAAGCAGGTGTCTAAAAAGGTCCACAAAAAGAATTCTGAAGACCTTCAGATAAGTACAGGCATTTTCACATAAGATTCTTTAGCTCAAGATAGATTGAATTTACGATTACGTAATTTTAAAAATGATTGACTTAACTGACAAAAGATATCTAGTTGGCAAATTATTTCAGCATTTAGAAGATTCACTTAATAATAAAAAAGTCCACTTGAATTCTGTGCAAATACTCCTGCCACAATTATAAAACAGCTCCTCCCCTCTAACTTTAGAGAGTAAAATTATAAGGTTCTAAATTTTGAAAACCTGCCTGTAAAATTAATGTGAGGACAACGATGAGGTTTACACATAACAGCAATAACAGCAATACCACTGGCTGTTCGAATTGGCTTAGCTTTCAGTTTTGGCACCAACCAATTCTGTAAATTAATGTGAAGGAACTACCAAACTGAAAAATACTATTGTTTGTATACATCAATAATAAAATTAGATCCTGAATATAAAACATATGAAAATCTAAAGTTACTAGTCACTATCAACAATGAAAGCCTAAAGATTGAAATGTGTTAAAATTAAATAAACTTTTCAGCAAGAAATCAAATAAGGATTTTCGTAATAGCTCTGTTCTCACCAGCACCAATTTTTCTGATTTATGTTCTTGCAAATCTGTTTTATACTTTCCCTAGATCTATTAGTGGTTTGTTACTAAATCCGATAAATTCTCAAAACCTAATTAAAAATTTACCAAAAGTGATATATGAATCTTCGGAAAACTGGATTAAATTAAATGTAATTCACGTACGTTTGCAAATTTTCACAAAAATTTTGAGTGCGTACCCTATGCTCCGTAGGCACTGCTGCAATAATATCAACTAATTTCGGCTGACGACTTAATGCATAGACTGATGAGACCTTACTCTTCAGACGATTCAAATCAACGTCTTTTCCCTCTTGATGAGCTTTAATTAAGTGAGCAATGATCACATTCACTGCTTTCGTCCCCTCTTCAGAAATCTCTCCCGCAGTCATCTTGGACCGCAGTTAGCTAATTCCTGAAGTAATAAACATCAAGCAACACAATCCAACAAAGGGTATCACAATGTTGTCTTCAGTGAAAATTTATGAACAGTGAAATTTTAGAAATAGAGATATTCTGGTAAACCTGCTACTTAACTGGTAAACTCTGGCAAACATTTTGAAAGACGTTATCAGAAAATTTATTGGGAAAATAAATATAAAATACAAACATGTGTTCTTTACAATATCAAAGGCGCTCCTGTCACAAGAAGCATTATATACAGAAATACAAAGGAAATACATAACTTCATCAGCAGTAATAATTTCGAAAACAACATTTCCTATCATTTTAGGTTTCCCTTAAGCTTAAATCTAAAAAATCCATTGCAAAAAAGCAATGTTCAAATGGTTCTTGAGTAAGTCTTGAGTAAACTGTTGAGATGAGCAGGAATAAAGTATTGTAAAAAATGAATGAGACTGTTAAATTCAACCGGTGATCCACTGATCAAAACGAATTTAAGGAAATATTCTGCAGCTTTTTGTTTCACATATGTTTTGAAACAAAGAGATGTTTCCTCACTGATCTGGCTAATTTGCTGTGTAACCTGAAAAATTACTGAAATCTGTAAGATTGAGACAAACAGCCCGATAAATTAGCATCAGAAGTTTAGTCATTTTTTAATGTCAAGAGCCTTTAGTAAAGAACTAAACAACAAAATCATGAAAATTAAAGTTCAAAATAATATAGTGAGCATCAAAATATTGAAATCCTAGCTAGGGTAACTTACTGCCTCCTCCAAAGCCAATGAATCGTTTGAGACTATGGGATTTTCTCGCATTATTTGACGCCGTTTTTGTCTCCGACCCTCCCAAGTACGTTGCTTAGCCAAATAGATACGAGACAACTCATTGAGTGTACTATCAAGTCGTGGTCGCTTCTCAAATGGTTCCACAGCTGGTGAGAATGCTAAAATATTGACGAAAATATAATTTACTGCATCCATGCATTGATTCGCTTGATAATCATCAACGTTGATTTTCAGTACACACTCTGCAAATCATAAGTACCTTCAAATGCTGACGATGTAAAATGTCTAATTTTTCAAAGAAATATAGCAACTAGTATATATATTAAGCATTTCCTAAAACCTTGCGGTAATATTCGAAATATGGGGCCATAAGTATCCAGCCAATGGTTGATCATATTAAATGATATACATTACAGTATAGAAATACAGCACAGAAAAGTAAAACTAAAAGGTAAACCTAAAGACGATTTCGTTCCAGCATCAGTACTACATGCTTCTTGCAATATGGCTAAGAATGAGTCAGGAACTATTTTCATACGCGACAATGCAAACATCATCTTGCGACGCATTGCACCGATGCATTTCTCAGAAACCAATATGGAAACATTATGCGACCATTCCAATGGATCCTATAACAATTCACAGTAAATTATTTCAAATCGAAGTGGAAATCTCGTATCACACTATTTAATTACGGTATGCTTTCACCACTACACAAAACTGCAAAATTTTCATGCAAATTAAGGGAAGTTTTTGCCTGTATATTCAAATGTGCAAGTTTGAAAGCGTCCTGAATGCTGCTGTCTGGATACAGCTGTTGGAACTGATCGAATGAAACTGCGTTACCTACATAGGGACACAGTATGGTGTTTTTCAACTTCAGCTGAATGAACCAAATAAAAAAATCCTGTAAGAGAATAACTTTAGCAAGCTAATTGTAAAAAAATGCCATAAAAAATTTCTTACTTTTTTGAAGCAATCAATTTTCAAGGATTCCAGTCTACATCAATGAACGGTAAGAAATAGTAACCTTAAACAATTTGTCAAGTGTCAGACAGGATAAATCCACATCAACAACAATAAAATCAATCCTCCACCCGTTTACAATCACTTCTTTTTCAGCACGTTGAAGAGGTGGTATATAATTGCACAGTTGCAAATATGTTACGCATAGTAAGTTCAATATGTAGGCGTTGAAATGTGAACACTAGAAAAAGTTTTATATTAATGATATTTTTTCGCAAAGCGTTTCGATCAACAGTGTTTTGTAAAGAAAAAATTTTTCATCCATAGAATGAAGTAAGGAAGAAAATAAAAAGAAAAAATATAGGAAGGAAACAAAAAATAAGGTTTTTCGCTTCAAACTATCACTTTGACAAATACCAATTCTGAACTTACCACAGAAAAGTCCGTCAAAGGGGTATAACATTACTTCACTAGATAAGTTAGTGAAACACAGTAATCCTAGTAGAAACAAACGAAAGTTAAAAACAGCTCACAAGTCTTAAAAATAATCTACCAAATTACATACAAAATTTGGAAATACCTGCTTTTCATCAGTCTTCAACAACTCATTTGTGTGAACCCAAAACCTGAAGGATACAAGAAATTTTCGAATAAGTTGTGAGGAATCACAATGTGCGACACTTCTCAGCCAACTAGATTTTGCGTAGCCAAGATAATTATCCACAGATAAGTCCACAATATGCTTCCTGAAGATGCCGTATTTGCTCTCCAAATTAAAGACGATTTTGAAATATCTACTAAACAATTCTACATTTTCTTCGTAAGTGGAAAATTTGTTTTAATTATATTCAAATATTGGACCGATAAAATTACTACATATTTAGATATCTGATTCTACAACATACCGATTAACAGTAAGTCGTACAAGTGGACAACGAGCATCCAAGATTGGGTATTGATCACTGACAGGTGCTGTACCACGCTTTCGTATGTCGTTCATTATTTTATTCAGCAAACGAACACGATCTTAAGGTTTTGTTAGTTAATCAGTTTAGTGAAATAAAATTCCTAGCCTGAGTTAAACTTGAGAAAATAAAAAAATGTCACAATTATTAAAACGTATTTGTCGCTCTATAATAAAACTATAAGCCTTCTTAATGAATATCGCAGGTGAGCAATATATACCTATTACTTGCTAAATCTCGCGCAAAGTGTGCTTTCGCAAATGGCACATTAAAAAGTAAGCAAAACTCATAAGCAATTGAAATTTTTTAATAATATTAAGGCCAAATACTTCAAAATGATCAAGGAGTAATGAGTCTTGAAAAAGATGTCCATAGCATGAGGAACAACAGATCTCATTTATATTTTCGGTATTATCTGGATCTGATCAAATGAAAGCATATAAACTAACCAGCCTCGGTGAGCCTAGAATATTCTTCAGCACAAATTTTACGTCCTCTTAATGCAGTAACATCGCATGTCATCAATGTATATTTATTCCTCACTAAATCTCCCGCACAATGTGCTTTCGTAAGTGATATATTGAAAAATAAACTTGCATCCTAAAAAACCCGATTTTCAAATTATGTTACTTTAAATTTATTAGATATCTCTGGTTCTTCAATCTACTTTCATGGCAAAATACATTAAATTATCTAAGGCTTTTTGCAATGAAATATCAAAAATTTTTAAAATCCTATTTGCCGGAAATCAAGTATTAATAATCAGTGTATTTTGAAACGAATGTAGGACATACAATGTCAGAACCCTTTGTACCGAGAGATGTTGATGAAGAGCCAAAAATTCGGATATGAACATCTGACGAAAAGTAATCACTAAGTGCCACTGTAAGCGTATGGGTACATTTGATTCGTTCTGCGATCTGAAAAAGCTTTTCGCATATTTGATTTTCTAAACTTATTCTGACCAAAAAATGAGTGATAAAAAAGACTGTGTCTATATTTCCACCCAAGTTTTTGTTTCCATATACATGCTTTTGATCTATGACGAGGGTCAAATATTCCAAGGAAGGCATAAATAGTATAATAACACTGCACCTATTTCAAATAAAGAATGAATTTTATGAGCATACCTCGACATCACTAAGACAATACAGCTCCAATAAATTGTCTACTTGCCCAGCAAATGTGGCTAAGCCATTAATTTCATTAATAAGTTTATTAGTGTCGATCGCATATATCTTTGACTTTGTCTTACATTGGTCGAAATTTATTTTTCGTGCTCGTATAGGTACGACTTGCTGGATTTTCAATGATAACTTATATGCAGTAAAAAATGTATTTGAAACAAAAAACAACAAAATATAAACTAACATGCAGCCAAAAAAAAAGTAGAACGATTTCATAAAAATTCATTTAAACCTCAGCTTCCAAGTTAGTTTCTGAATATCGTGGTTTCCTTCTGCAGCTAAGGATAAAGGAAAGATTAAAGAAAAATCAAGCAGAAAATAACGTAGTGAAACTTACATGCCCAATATGGATTTTATCTTCAAAAACAGCTTTATGAGCCGAAAATTCCTGATCAAATTCTACGATCACATATTTGCCTCTTCTAATATCTAAATGAATCTTTTCTACTTTTCCAAAACAGCTCAGGGCCTCTGAAATCTGAAAGGAATTTTAGTTAAAAAACACGAATTCGGAATCAGATTTGAGTGAATATTAAATAAAATGCTTGTGAACCGATCCTTTACAAAAGGAAGCAAAAACCTGAAAGATGAATAGTTTTCAAAACAACTGCATCCACATTAAGCAAACAAAAAAGCATGCAATCTCCAGACTTATTTTAATCATTTCTGCGTAATATTCAAGTAATACCAAAAGAAAGCAGCTAAACAAAACCTCGTCTTCGGTGATGACGATTTCAGGATTTAATCCAGAAATAAATACCGACCGAGCGGCTAAGGCCTGTAACGCATCACGCTCTACAACCTTTCTGTGGTGACGTTTGCCATTATTGTGCATATGTAGCAATGCTTCTGACGACAGATGCACCTTACATAGATCGCACCACTGCACCCCTGACATTTTCGAAATATCATTCGCTGACTTTATAAAAGAATGTCCTAAAATAATAGAAATCGAATTTATTTGGGTATTTTCTATATCTTTTCTACCGAATCTACCGAATTTAACCGGTATATACCGTTAAGTACTTTGCACTTCAACATTATCGAGGTTTAAATACTAGAGCTTAATTTTTACAAGTCTTCCCAATACCTTCATCAGTCTTTTAATTGATCTGTGACTTTGAAATAAGGCATAATATTCGAATTCACAATAACGCTTTACAAACTGACAGGAAGATCGCGCTCGAATTATGATCAAAACATAAATTTATAAAAGATCAATCACAAGCTTGAACAATGACCGAATATTTCCTTCTACACCATAATTAAAGTGATAAAAAAAAAAAAAAATATCCACTTAACCAAATATAAACAGCAATAACATCGAGAACATTGCAAATGAAAGCTTTTCACACATTTACACTATAACGAAGTCAACAAAGCTAATGTACTGAGGACTAATTTTAAAATGCTTGTAAATTATCTATGATATCAACTGGAAATAAACAAATATGATAAGAAAATGTAGAAATTTAGAATGAAAAAATAAAATCTGTAACTAACATGCCATCAAAAATTTTAAATTTTAACATACTGGCTTAATTTGTCGTTCCTATTTCGCATCTGAAGAACGCCAAAAATGGATAAGTTTTTGGCATTAAGTTTAATAGAAACTGCATAGCAAAATTGATAGAATGGAAGAACATTGTTAGCACTATCAAATTTGTCGTGAAATCATTAAAAAAAAAAAAACTGGAAATGAACACTGTATCGGTGACAAACAACGATTTTTATAAAAGTGTATGAATGTTTAGAGATACCAAGGCTTATGCGGCATAGCTTATACAAACATACAGAACTTTAAAAAAGGAATTAAGAACTGCTATTAGGCTATCTTATTTGTTATGGTCACCGAAATCAACCCAATCACCTCGTTTCTTTTTATATTCGCAGTAGTCTTCCCACCTTCTTTCCATTACATTTTTTCCTGTTCGACGAAATTCTGCTCGCTCTTTAATATATTCATCAGTGATTTTTTGACGGAACCATGGATCATTGAACCTACAAAGTTGCAGACTTCAGAAAAAAAATCAAGAATATAGAATAGGTACAAAGTTACGTACATGCGCAACACACATACAAAGTTAATCTTATAGTAAAACCACGTACTTAAAGTAAAATAAGAATCGAACTTTTCAAATATATACGGTTATCGATAGTATCCTAAAACTACTCCCAGTTCAACAAACGATCCAATACATTGCAAGTTCGTACTGCATACAATTCGAAAAAAACTGCATAAAACTTAATTCGCAAGTTGACATGTTTCGTAGCGCTCTAGCTCTTTCCGGCATTTTCTCATACCAATAAAACTGCCTTCTTTTTTTATGCATTGCACCAGATCTAAAAGCTTTCAATAAAATTTAAAAGAAGTCTAGGTATAATATAATCTGTAAGTGCACACGACTATATATTTCCAAAGTACTCTTCAGTTAATTGCACAATCAAATGCCTGGAGGTGACAAAAAATTCACTGCAGTTTATTGCAAAAACACAAAGGAATCCAACCTTCAAGTGACTCGCGACATTCAACTTTTTGTACCTGTTCATTCATGCGATTCGGTATTAAAATATCTGCTTCCAGTCGACGTAACGATCGGTCATTCGGATCTCCTGAAACAAAACATCAAAATAAGAGGAGAATTTCTTTGGTGAGTTAAAACTTCGGAAAGCATTTCATTGGTAATAAGGTCTGCTATATGTGTCAAAATAGACAACAGTGTTTGGCAATCTGAATATTCTTCAAATGAAGTAGCAAACGGCTAATACCATTCGATGCAAGTAAAGGTGACATACAAACCAACTCCATGTGGTCCTCCGATAGACTGCTGTGGTAAAGCAGTTTTCCGCACTCGGAACTTCTGACCGCTTTCGGAATCTACGAAAATGTCGCCCTCTCTCAAATGATGTAAGTCATCCGTCTTTATCGGTCCATCTGCAGCGCATTCCGTTTTCATATTAAAAATGTTGTTCTCACCTCTACAAATGGCTATTAGTCACAATTTACGACAATTCAACCAATAAGATTAATGAAGAAAAAAAGTTGAATGCCCATCACGTGTTACTCTCACTTCACTTCCAAATGTGTTCATGTATCTCATTTTAACACAATATGTACTCCCTTAATCTTTTACGTATTCTTTCAGAACAACTTAGAGAGGTAATCCATTTTCTAACAGAAGACTAGTTTTGTAAAAGAACTATTAAATTTTCAGATTTCAGCCAAGTTTTATGTAATAAGCAGCCAGACTATTGGACTAGTCATGAGCAGCTCTTTGTTAGCTGCATTTAACATATATTAATATTTAGTATGTAGAATTCGTATGTGACTTCTTACTGAATTTTGCTGACCTCAGTCACTCGAAGAAAAACTCATAATGTGTTCATAACTGGAGCGAAAACTTATAACTTATATTAACTTTATTTTTTAACTTAATAGTCTGATTAATAATCATTACTAGAAAGGAACTAAAGTTAAATGAACTATGAAATCAATTTTTTTTGCAGTCCAAGCCTCACTCAGTATAATAAGCAAAACACCCACTCACAGAACGTCCCCCCCCCCTTACTACACATCCCTTCCCGTGCCTCATCCCTCAAAAGTAAACTTAACTCTCACTAAAAAAACAATTCCAAAGATCATGTAAACCATGAAATACACACGAGCACATTTCACAGAACATGCAAACAGATTGGTTCATTCTGGAGGCAGGGGGATTTGCAATTTGCATGGTTGTTGTAGGACTCTGCCCAGGTCAAAGGCCATGAATTGTATTGTTGAATGTTGAGAGCACCTTGGCAAGGATAAAAATACCCTATGATGGATGGATTATCGAATTAGTTGTCACTTTTGTTCCGTCTTTTTCTGTGACCGCAAAACACTTCCCTTCTCAAGAGTGGAACCTTTCCATGCTCTTTTCGTGATCTTTTTGTGGTCCTTTCACTCGTGGCTTTTGAAGTCGGAACAACGAAGTAGTGGTGTGAGATAGGGTAGATTGGACATAACATTTACCTGGCGGTTTATGGATAAGGAAGCACAAGTTTTTCTTTAATCAAAGCATTTTAGTTTGAGGGAAGTAAGACTTAAGTCCACGCAAATTCAACTTTGCTTGTGCTTCTTGAGTTAAATGTGGAAAATATTGACTAAATCCAGCCAAAACTTTGCAACTAAACTAGACTGATCAGACTTTACCGTTACCTAGGAGTACAATAGCTGTGTTGATTCACAAGATATCCAAGGTTTGGAAGTTAAATTTGCATAATGACTTTGAGAGAAGACACTGTAAGCAAAGAAGGATGGGTGCAGTGGGTGTTGTTGCTTTAATGACCGTATTGGAGATTTTTTTCCAAGGTTTGGTCATCGTCATCATTTATTCCATCAACATGGATTGTTGAAGTGAAAATGGATCAAAAACTTTTTGAGAAACTCATTCAAATCAGTATCTTCTATTTCACCTGCCTGTACATCTTATTCATTTCCTTTCCTTCTGTATATTGCATTCAGTAATAACTGTGTCCTTAATAATACATTCATGCATGCACACAACCGCATGTGCGAAAAAACATGTTTTTTTTTAGTGACTTTTGCATGTAGCACGTGAAGTGTATCGTCTAAATTGGCAAATAGAGTCGTAATACTGGTTTGCAAATTTAGTGATAGAGAACACAGTGTTATTCTTACATCATTTAAGAAGGAAAATATGATATTAACGCTGGAAAATTTCCAAGCGAAGGCATAAGGCCAGTTTAATTTTGAGAAAAAAAATTGGAAAGTGAAAAAGAGGACTCTGCATATTGACGTTTCAGTGACTTCCCGTTTAATTTCTAGTTGAGCAGATGAAGTTGCAGTCAGATCAAGCATTATTATGGAGTCACTTTATGACAAATCGAATTGCTAATGAGTAATATTTTCTTGTTGCTACTACTAATAGCTATCTGATGGTAAACACTGTCACCACGGAACTATTTAGTATTTTTATGCAAATAGTTCTTCGCTGTTTGCTTCACTCGAAATAATTAGAAGTCAGTTGTGAGATTAATTCAATTTTATGATCCGTTCAGTTTTCCTTTCTATTCCTACATCGAAATTCTGGAAATTTTTAGATTATTTGCGTGACACTGATATTTTACTCACTGAACAGCCCAATGACAAATGAAAAGAGAGACAGGGAGAGAGAGAAACAAAATACTTTATTGTTATTAGTTTTCATTGTCTAAAAATGTTATGGCAATATAAATAATGGGTAGAGAAGAAAAAAGATTTTAGAGAAACAGGAATTGGTTGTACAGTGAAGTTTTCTAAAAAGCTATTTTCCCGCTTTTGCCTGATCTGTGGTCATTTTTAAAAGTTTCTACCACTCTGAAAACTATGTTTGTACTGTTCTAATCAGCTTTTTCCCTTTTCATCTTTGATGGTTTTTTCCTTTATTCTTTCTTTGCAAGACTTCTTTTTTCGTTTTAATCAAAAAGACGTCACTCTGTTTTAAGCGTGGAATAAAAATTTCGGTTTTCAGAAAATCCGGTAGTAAGGGAATGCAGATCTGGATATGGCGTTTCTATAGCGTTTTTTGTATTACCTGCTACTTCCTACTCCCATTTTGCCAGTCACAAAAGCAAGAAATAAAAGTGAGTAATTTTTAATACAATTTACAAACTTAGTCATAATTGTTATATTTCATACACGAATGTCCTTAAAGAAATAAATCCTTTCATCACTAATACAATTCGCCTCACAGTCAGTCTCTAACATGATTGTTTTTGTGCAGGACGTATGGTCCGTTCTGTTAGAGACATTCCTTTGGTATTTGATGAAATTTGGTATTGGTGAAACTCGAAAAAAAAAAACTGAGGTACAAAGATTTGTTAGAATCGCTTTGGCTGAAAGATTTTTGTAATAGCAGAAATTCCCTGTTTTCAACTTTTTATTAGAGACCAAAATTTTGATTTCGAAATTGTTGCTAATGTTTAATTTTGTCAAACTTGTAGAAAAACCAGTTATAGTTGTATAATGAACTGAGCCTTAATTTGATTGCAGCCAACAGGTGATAGTAGCTTCACCGAAAAGAAGGCACATCTGGTTGGAATCAGAGTTGAAGGACTGCCATCCGAGGATAACGGCTTTGTTGGTTATAAGTAAGTTGCATAATGTTCAGCATATTGTGACATATTTGCACTAGCATTTACATGTTTTTTCTCAGTAAAAATTACATAATTCGCCAGTTGGACAAAACAATATCATTACCTTCCGAAAAAGATTTCTAGAGATAACTTGATTATAGTTATATTTTACTGGGACTGTTTATAAATTCTATACGTAAATCACAAATCGAAAAATAAAATATATATATAAACTTATGAAATTAAAAAATATATAAACTAAATTAGCAGTTTACTGTATTTGTGTTTTAGCGGAATGGAGTCCCAAAATTGAAGTTTGAAATATCTGGTGATCTTTATATCCTTCTTTCAAATAAAAAATGATTTGATTTATTAGGATTCTACTTCTTGTACTGCGGTACATTACATTTTAAAGAAATGAAATAACGTCTAATACATTGAGATGTAGTGATCATTAAAACCTGTTCATTAAAAAAACGTAGCCTATATCGCTGACATCTGCAAGTTTTGTTATTATTTCAAGTATATTTTGACCTTTGATGTCATTGAATCAGTTCAGTAATCAGCATTTGTGCTTTGCATATAGCGAATATTAGTAAATAGTTAGTGGAATTTGTGTCTAGTTAATGAATGGAGTTAGTGAATCATCTCAAAAAGCGAAAAAGTGATTTCTGGAGATTTGATAGCTGGGAATTGTTTTGTAAATCTACAGGGGTGAAGAATCAGTTTTCTCCTTATAAAAAGGATGAAAATGTTTCTCATACAGCTGTTTCAATGAGTAAGGAAAAATATTTTTGGGTCGAGTAAGGCAGTGCTGAAATGAGACGTAAAACAACGTATGCAGTACGGGGTGCTGAAGTCAAACTGGTTTACAGTGATATTGCAGCCGAAAAAATAGAACAAATTATTTGAGTAAAATCATAGGAAGTGATGGTGGCTTGAAATGTGTAAAATATTCTTTTCTCTACTACAGATTTGCGTCACATTGGCATTTAATCTGTAAACTAGTTTTGTTAATTATGCGACCATATTGTATCCAAAAATTTTTGGGAATTCTTCAGCTATAGAAATCCTTGTTGACACTGCACAAATGATGGTGGTATATTCTAGATCTCTTAATTCACAAATAAATAATGTATTACGGAATTACAGTGATAAAGAAGTATCGATAGTACAACCGGATGTTCCAGTTCGAGTGGTACTGTTTGGTCTCGGTATGGATGATATAGCACTGGTTGTTTTTACTCGGCTCGGAAATAACTGTTCAATGTCCGATATTGAGATCACACAACCCGATTTTACCATCCATACAAAGGAACGTGTGGTCGTTAAGGCATCATTCCCTGAGTTTGTTCCAGTTTTCTCTATTATTTTGTTCCCTGTTTCTTTTCATAGTTTTCTGTATTTCTAATATTTTTTTAATTTATTTTTTTTTTATTTTTAATTTGCAGTTCTTTATTTTTATTTTTAATTTGCAGTTCGGCAGACCTCTATCAAATATGCGTTAAACAGAAGCCAAAGGAAAATGCGCAGGGTAAAGAAACTGAGCAGGATTTTTCAGTGGTTAGTTCTCCTCGCAGACTAAATTAAAACACTGATGAAATGGAAAGAGAAGTAATACATTGTTTAAGATGGAAATGATTCATTTAGTTGGATGACATTTGTTTAGATTATTTCCTATGCTGTTAAATACAGTTTGTGATAATGTAATGTTCAGTAAAGCATTCGATGACTTTTTCTATGTCAGTGTTCGAGGAAATATCTGTCGCATTAAATTAAGTCCAGTACCGCTGCTGAATGAATCAGTAGTTTTTCTTTCTAAATATTAATTCTACCAATG